GCTCATCTGCATCCGGTGAACTGTAAATAAAAAACTATTTTTTAAAAGGTCTGATTTTTTTTTGCATGGAAGATGTTCCAATGCATGAGATGCGTGGCAATTTCTAGTGCGTTCGAACATTTGAGTAGCTCTCGGAAAAATATCGGTCTGAACAGTAAACTGTTATCTTTTTTTGCTGAGAGCTACTTAGATGTCCAAACATGTTGAAAATGGACACAAACCTCACCACTGAAACATCTTCCATGCAATTTTTATAGATTTTTTTAAATATAGTATTTTTTGTTCATGGTGGGAGCAAGTGAGCTTGGGAGACAAACCACCGCTTTTTTTACGGGTGCTCTTATTTTCTTCTTTAATAATGCAATAGTTGTAGTTTGATATCAAGTCCATTTCTCAAAGTGATCGTAACCATTCTTGTAATGCTACGTGGGCCTGGTTTAAGCCCAGCTGTTCTTAATACATACTTCTAGATGGTGCTAGGGTAGAAGCTTTATCTAATACTCTGGGTTTTGATAATGCGTATGCTGTAGTTAAGGTCGAAGCGATGGTATTGGTTTGTTCTGGAATAATTCAATAAAGGTTGAGATATTTGGTTACTCTGTTTATCACTTGGATGCCTTGGTAGAGGAAAATAACCAGGACAAATGGAGATTGACGTGTGTATATGATGAAGCACAGACACACCTGAGGCACCAGATATGGACGGTTTTGAAAAACATCAGTACCCTGAGTCCTTTACCATGGTTGTGCATGGGTGATTTTAATGAAGTCCTTCGTCCGGAAGAGCACGAGGGGGTGGGACAGCGAAGTAACGCCCAGATCCAAGCATGTCGGGATACCACGGGTATTTGCATGTTGCTAGATATGGGATTTAAGGGCATTTTCTGGACCTTTGAGAAGAAAGTAGCCGGTGGGAGCTACACAAGGTGTCGGCTGGACAGAGCGCTGGCTAACGTTGGATGGATGAATAAATTTCCAGAGGCATCAGTATCACATCTCATGTGCTCTACATCTGACCACTCACCTATAATCATTGATTTTGGCGGTCCAGAAGTCGTACAAGCGCAGAGAAGTTTTAAGTATGAGCTAATGTGGGAATCACATGAGAGGCTCCGCGACGTCCTTACAAGCAGCTAGGACTTCGGGCCACCGTGTACATCACTGGAAGAAATGAAACAGAAACTCAGCAACATTCCTAAGGGGCTGGCCAAGTGGAGTAGAGATACATTCGGGTATGTACGCAATGAAATAAAGGCTCTGAAGTAGGCCTTGGAAGAGTTCAGAAACGACCCAGCGAGGATAGCACCCTCTCACGCCGAGCTCAAGATCAATGAACGTTTGATCGAGATGTATCACCGGGAGGAGATTATATGGCACCAAAGAGCATGAATCGAGTGGCTTTCAGCGGGAGACAGGAGCACTAAATTTTTTCATCTCCGAGCTAGTCTTCGCAGAAAGAAAAATATGATTAAGGCCTTACAAAATTCCCTAGGGGTAATTGTTGATGACCCAGCAGAGTTGAAGGCAATGGCTAATGATTTCTATCAAACGTTGTATTCTTCAGAGGGGGTACAGAACATGGAAGCTGTTTTAAACCATGTCCCACGTAAGGTTACGCCTGAGATGAACGCCGCCCTATGTGCTCCATATACTAATGAAAAGGTTAAAGTGGCTCTCTTCCAAATGTTCCCAACCAAAGCGCTAGGGCCAGATGGCTTCCCTTCCCATTTTTATCAGCGACATTGGGATATCTGTGGAGAAGAGGTAACCAAGATTATTCTGAGGATAGTCCGGGGGAGGAGAGTCCTGAATGTATCAATGACACGGTCTTAGTGCTCATTCCCAAGGTAACAAATCCAACAATGCTAACTCAGTTTCGCCCTATTAGCTTATGCAATGTCTTTTATAAGATAGCATCAAAAGTGGTCGCGGATATATTGAAACTTATTTTGTCTGACATAATCTCTGAGGAACAGTCAACCTTTGTCCCAGGGAGGTTGATAGCAGATAATATCATTTGCGCCTATGAATGCCTACACTTTATGAAGCGGTCTAGATCAAAATCAAATAGTCAGTGTGCTTTGAAGCTGGACATGATGAAGGCATATGATAGATTGGAATGGGCTTACTTGAGAGCTATCATGACAAACTTGGTTTTGCTAGACGGTGGATAGATACTATAATGGGCATGGTTTCATCGGTATCATTCTCGGTCTTGTTCAATGGAGTGTAGCTTGATTCATTCAAGCCAACAAGAGGTATCAGGCAGGGAGACCTAATCTCCCCCTACTTATTCTTGATTGTAGCAGAGGGCCTTTCATGCCTCCTTAAATCCAGTTCACAGTCATCATTCACAGGTCTTCAGGTGGCCCTGACAGCTCCCACTGTTAACCACCTTTTGTTTGTAGATGACAGCCTGATGTTATTCAAGGCTAGTGTAGAGGGGTCTGGTGCGGTGTCACACCTGCTAGACACTTATTGTGCTGCTTCGGGTCGGAGAATTAATCATGAAAAGTCATCAATATTTTTCAGTAAAGGGTGCCCGGGAAATATAAGAGAGGCAGTGAAGAACACCTTAAATGTGCACAAGGAGTCGTTAAATGAACGCTATCTTGGGATGCCCACTGACGTGGGCCATTCAAAAAATGGGACATTCAAATACCTACGTGACCGTGTGTGGGAGAAGATAAAGGGTTGGATGGAGAAGCTCCTATCATCGGTAGGTAAAGAAGTGTTGATCAAATCAGTTGCTCAGGCGATTACAATCTACTCTATGTTATGTTTCAGATTGCCAAGAGGTCTATGCGAGAGCATCACTTCGATCATACGACAATTCTGGTGGGGAAGCAAGCAAGGTAAGAGAAAACCTAGCTGGGTTGCATGGGATATCATGACTAGACCTAAACATCTGGAAGGTTTAGGCTTTCAAGATCTAGAGATTTTTAACTTGGCACTTCTCGCACGCCAAGCATGGAGACTGCTAACGGGGGAATCATCTTTGAGTGCTCGCATTCTGAAGGCTGTTTATTACCCGGAGTGTACATTACTAGAGGCAGAACTCAGGCCACGCCCATCACAGATTTGGCGGTCCATATTGGATGGTCGTGACATACTGGCACAGTGCATTGTTAAAAGGATTGGGGATGGCAAGAACACGGACATTTGGAGACAAAACTGGATTCCGAGAGACGGTTACAAGAGGCCTATAATGTCACTGGTGCAAAACCTGCCGACTAAGGCCACTGAACTAATTGATGCTACTACTGCATCGTGGAAGGAGGATCTGGTCCGAACTACTTTTACTGCTTTTGATGCTGCCGAGATTCTGAAGATACCTTTGTGCACACGAAAGGTAGAGGACTTTTGGGCCTGGCATGAGGAGAATAGAGGTGTATTTAGTGTAAGGTTTGCTTATCGCATGATCCTTCGTACCAAGCACGAGTGGGGGGTTTGGCTGCATGAAGAGGAGGGACCTTCCAAGGCGCAGGATGAGCAGAACAAATGGAGGAATATTTGGCACATACAGGTACCATCTAAACTTCGGATGTTTGTATGGCGTCTGTTAAGACAGTCCATGCCAACTGCGGAATTACTCAAGCACCAAAATATAGCTATAGAGGATACATGCAGACTGTGTGGAGCTAGTGATACGTGGAGACATGCACTTCTCTCATGCCCTATGTCAGCTAGCGTCTGGGCTCTAGCGCCGGAGGAATTGGTACACCATATGGTGGAAAGGCAAGAGTACAGTCCCAATAATTGGATGTTTACACTGCATGAAATACTAGACGCAAGTGCGTTCGTACAAATGATTGTCACCTTGCGGGCTATTTGGGGAGCACGACAAAAAGTGATCTACGAGGATATCTTCCAGTCACCACATTCTATAAATGGTTCTATCACTAGCTATCTAGCGGAAATTAACAACATCAACACAAAGCTCCCAAAGCAGGGGGTTTTCAAAGCTCCCAGACCGACCCAATGGCAGCCCCCCCAGCCGGGCTCGATGAAAATAAATGTTAATGCTGTGGTCCCAAGGCATGCTAGGTATGGTGCAGTTGGGGCGATTTGCAGGAGTGAAGATGGAACCTTCACGGGGCTTCGGTGCTGGTTTTGAAGTACATTTCCTCTCCACAAATCCTTGAAGCTCTTGCTATCAGAGAAGCGATGGCGTTGGCGGAGGACCTATACCAGAGACGAATTCATGTGGTATCGGACTGCAAACAGGTGGTGGAGGACCTCAACGAGGAAAATGCATCAACTCATGGAGCTATTGTGCATGAAATAATACATCAATCTTCGGACTTTGATTTTTGCAAGTTTAGTCATGAATTTAGAAGCTCAAATGTTGAAACTCACAACTTAGCGAAGCATGATTTGTCCCTTGGAGGTAGCCACCGTGTGTGGTTAGGCCACCCCGGGGATCTTTTTTTCGTCCCTGTAAACGTTGTGACGATTTAATAAAAGCTTCGTGAGGTTGTCTAAAAAAAATGCCATCAGGGTCTTTTTGGTAAAAACTATACGAAGAAACATTACCCGGGGGTGAAAACGAAAAGTGATTATTCAGAAAAGCTCGAAGTGCTCGCCCCCCAGGCCAACACCATCTCCAGCGGGTTGCTCAAAAAAAAACACCATCTCCAGCGGTGCGCTTCTGCCTCCTGCTCCGTTCTCCAGCACCAAAACCACGAAGAAGAGAGAAGGGAAGGGAAGCGGCGCAGTGGAAGGCGACACAGGGGCAGGAGGAGACGATGCAGTGGTACTTCGTGGCGGCGCTCCTCACCGTCCTCACCAGTTCCCAGGCAACGCCCCTAAATCCTCCTCTCCTCCGCATCCCCCCTTCTCTTTTTTGTCGATTTAATCACACTGCCAGATCTATGTTGGAGCGGGGATTGATCGGGGAATTCGGTTGGTGTGCGGTTGTCTGTTTTCGGCGGCATGCCGTCTGTGCAGTAGAGGAGGAGGCGGCGGCGGCGGCTTCGATCTAGGGGTGCTGCGCGCAAATGCAGTTGTGGTTCTCTGCTCGTGAACAACTGCGGTTCAGAATAATGTCAGCCTGGACTCCTGGAGTGGTCAGAACGCTAGCAAGATGCGCTTCAATTCTTAGTTTTTCTATAGCAGTCTCCAGATGAACTGAACTACTCCCTCTGTCCCATAATATAAGAGCGTTTTTGACACTAGTTTTGACACTACACTTGTGTCAAAAACGCTCTTATATTATGGGACGGACGGAGTAGGACATTGTAACGCGCCGAGAGGTGATTGGTTTTAGTTCAGTTGAGCATGCCATGGCGATGGGTCATGGTCATCGCGCAGTCTGGAACCCAATGATGGTTGACCAACAGCAGTTAAATAAGCTTTAGGAATGCTGCACATGAGTTGTTGTTTGACTTCATTTGTCAATTGTGGTGTCTTCTTACGAGTGTCACTGATTGCATTACATATTTGCAGGGTATATGGACTACGCTCTCTCAGAGCAATGGCAAATATAAGTATGACTATGCGACCATTCCATTTCTTGCAGAATTCTTCAAGGTACATGCATTGCAATTCTCTGGAATCTTATGCTATTGCCCGCAACAATGTTTGGACCAATATACCTGTTTAAACCCGTGTTGCAAATATGTAGAGTAGGAGACAATAATTTTTGGACATTTCCATTTGTTATGTGGTGCAAACATGTAGTGTAGGCATGTAGCAGACTATGAATTTGGAACTCTATAACTCTTTATCGTAAGTGGTTCAGATTTGCAGAAGACAGTGATTTGTCTATATCAGTTCTGACATTACCCCATTCTCAACGCAGTTGTCAGTCTCAAGCTTCTTTCTTTGGAAAGAGTGCCAGTCTTCATCACCACCAAGGATGACAAAGGAGTGGAAAAGTGTGCGACTATATCTTGTTCCTTCAGTCATATACCTCATCCACAACAATGTTCAGTTTGCGACCTTGACCTATGTTGATCCATCGACCTATCAGATATTGGGGAACCTGAAAATTGTTACAACTGGAATTTTGTTTAGGTGTGCCATGTGCCTCTTCATAACATGCTTGTGTTTTATGCTTCCTAATACTATTGGCATGATATAATATGTTTATAATTTCCATGTTCTGTCTGCATTCCGTCTTTTATGCGGTCCACCTCAGACCACTCAGATTTAATGCACTGTAAAATAGTCGAACTGATTGAGAACAATTGAATTGGTTTTTGAGAAAATCTAGTCTGGTTTTGTTCCAGAATCGAGCAATTAGCTTACTCAGAATACCAATTGTGACCATTCTATATCTTGTGGTGATTTATTTCACCTCAATGTTTTACCTTTTAAGATCTATCTTGAATATGCAAATCTTGGCAAATACATGGACACTCCCTCCAATCTTCCTGCACAGCTATTCAATATTTGTTTTTTTAGCAATAAATATATTGTCCCCTGTTGGCTACACTGTACAATCTAAAATGCTTATATCCTTTTGATGGCTTGCATCACAAAGTCAGAATTTCCACCTAATCAGTGCATGCATTGTTATGGTTTCACATGATTTCTGGCAAAGTAGATACCAATAATCTTTTGTTTGTTTCTCAAAGATTAAATTATTGGCGTCACAATTGTTTCATCACCTATAGTAAGTTGCTCTATTATGAGAAAGTTTCTGGTGCATTCCACCCTTAGGTGCACGCCCGTGCACACTCTACAGAGGTCCTTATGCAACCAAGCATTCTGCATGCTTGAACACAAAACACATGTACCAGGAAATTGGAATTTTAGTGAATAGTAGCTTTATCTTTTTCATTGGTTTATTTTTGGTTTCTTTTCCAGTAAGATCTGTATTCATTTTTTTTTCTGTTTCTCCATGCATAGATCAAATTCTGACTTGAAACTTTATGGCATGCTAGATTGTTTTGTGCCACTTGTCATCTTTCCGGAATTTTTTCCATGACATTTGCATCTTGTTTTGAAGTGAATACATGGTAGTGCACCTAAACGTGAGATGCAGTGTATGTGCGCTCATACTATTAGTAGAGCTAATATTCTACCTAAGTAGTCAGTGCAAATGGTACTTGATTCTTCCTCCCATTGATTGACTAAAGCTGTTGGTCTCTGGCTCTCTGCTAATCGTGCCAGGCTTGTCTTGAAGAGGAAATTATCAAATCTACAATGGATGGCAATTATTTTACTGGCTGTGGGAACTACTACAAGCCAGGTTTGTTAATATTGCGAAATTGTCCTGTTCTATTACAGTT